TACCATCTTTTTTAGAATATATGAATTAAGAAATTTACTGTTTTACTGCGTTTCAAGCAATGTACTAATATTATCAAGTGGACTTAAATCAGTCATAATTCTGCAATATTTAGTGTCTTCAGGTCTCTTCTGGTGTAAACTGGAGCTTTTTCATTCCTTCCTTGTCTCTGGCATCAGCCACGACCCTTTTTCAGCCACTTCCTGACTCTTCTCGAGGTTATCCAAACAATAGGCTCTTTAATATAATCTTTCAGTGGTTTTAAAACAGCCTCCAAAATAAAATCTAAACAACCCAAAAACCCTTAATGAAGGTCCAAAAAATGGTTCTGGCTTCTTTTCATTCAAGTTGTCCTTTTTATAGGTAACTCAATCTTATCGCTGCTTGTGGCATGCCAAGCGGAGCACGCTAACCCAACAGCATAAGCAAATTGTGGATGTGTCACGAGTCATCTCAAGTTACAAGCATCTATAAAGTGCAAACGGCTTAATAAGGAAACCGTAGGAGCGTTTTATGTTTTTAAATTACTTTCTTTCACTCAAGATTGAAACTCATTTAATGAAACGGGTGAAGCTACCCAAGTTTCTATCTGGGGTAACCAAGTTGACCACAGAGTAAAACTGCTTCTTTTATTTCATAATGAATACCCTAGAACCGAGTGTCAGCTGGCTGTCTGTTGCTCTGCTACTGTGGGACATTTCTGCTTTGGTTTTACAACTGATGATGTAGGATCCCAAGGTATTTTCTCTCAAAAAAAGGGTAATAGGTGTCACATTAGTTGCCGAGATTTAACACAACAAATATGTGTTGGTGTGCGCGTGTTGTGTGTGAACTATCAGCCCCGACTAATATGACATCTTTGAGACAAGAAAAACAGTCTTTTAGGTGGGTATACAGTAATAATGATATATTATTATTTTTAACAAAAGCATATACTACTTAAGAACAGTAATAATTGCTATAATTGTTGTATTGACCTTGGTGCACGTTTAACACACTTGGTCAAAGTCAGAGTAGTGGCACTTAAAAAACTTGGAGGAAAAAATGGCGATAGTGCCATTTAAAGTGCTGATAGTTACACACATGCTTTGGCGAAATACTATTCTGCATTTTTAGGCAGTTAATCAGAGGATTATCCCATACTGTGTCAGTTTTTGGAACAACTCTACCGATGGCATTCTGGCATGTTTTCTGCATTTTATGTTCTGTAAAAAAGTTTTAATATCAGTGCATTCCAGAAAACATACACACCGATACGACACATCTGATATATGTATGTGCTGTGACTTTCACTGTGTGTCTCTGTATGTGACATTTAGTGCTCACATTTCAGCCATTCACATGCTTCGTGTGTGTGTGTTGTGTGGTTGTGGTGTGTGTGTGTGTGTGTGTGTGCTGATGGCTGAGAATCCTCTCCGAAGGGAGAACAGTGGTCCCTCTTGTTTATCAGCTCTTTAACAGATAACCTGATCCCAGCCTAGTCCGGTCCGGGTCAACAGAACACACACACACAAACTTACACACATTCAACCAGCCCCAGCATACAATGACAACATTATCTGCAACAACAATGGTATGTCTGGTGAGGAGAGACAATTGCATTTGATATACATAATCAAATACATACATAATGAAATAAAGCAGTGGGTTGGCACATGCTGATCTTGGCCTTTTTTACAGCAGACATTGGGACAAATTGAGGGGGTTTTAGATTTATTCGATTTTTCTTACAAACCACTGTACATAAAGTAAATGAGCAAAAATAAACATAGAAAACTAAACCTGTAACCAAGTGAACATAGTGAACATTATGTGCTGGGGTAAGGATTATTTTATATTTCTTTTATATTTTATTTTCAGCAAATCTCATGAAAAGCACCAACATTGTGTTAGTGCTCATGTATTTTTAATAGTTTTTGGACAATAGTGGCGCTCCATTGCACAGAGGAAGAAGACACAGAAATCAGGCTTTGGATACACACAAAGTACAATACTATTGTTGTTTTTGGTCTCTTTATGGGTTTTGCTGAGTAGTAGCAATAATACAATCAAAATATAATGAATCAAATTACATGAAAATTTTACCAAAAGCTTGTATAGTGTTACATTTTAAAGTCTCACAAAAAAAGAAAAGGTTTGGCTTAAAAACTGATTTCCACTGTCGTAGAAGCACTCTCCTGTCTGGCATAATGGCTGCTTGTATCCATTCAGAGAGCACTGATGGAATTCGATCTTTTAGAGTGGAAGGATCTTCCAAAACACAGACACCTGGGAAATACAGGGCTTCACTTTTATGCTTACTTAGCCTTGTGCAATCTAGAAGAAGTCCAGTATAAGTGAATATTATTTCTTATTATAATTAATTATTATAATGTATTATATTGTGTATTAAGCTCCTATGTGACACATATGACACATGTTTTGCGTTATTTAAATGAGTGTATTTATTACAGCAGGGAGATTGGTTTAAAGCTGCAGTTGGTAACTTTTATAAAAAAAACTTTTTATCATATTCACTGAAACTTTCACTATATCCTGACAGTAGTACACGAGACAGTCAACAATCAGGTTCCTCAGGTTCCTCTGGTTCCTCCTAATGCTCCTAATGGTATTTACAAGAATCCACAGGGCCCGAACGAAAACATCAGAGCTGAGAAAGAGAGTTGATTTGTTCAGTCTCTTTCCAGATCGTCCAATATCAATGCTGAGAATGAGACTCAACAATCAACTATCTTCAAGCCTCTAATCCAAAGCGTCTTTCCATCTTTCTTTTTCAGAATATCTGTCTCATGTACTACCGTCAGGATATAGTGAAAGTTTCAGCAAATAGGACAAAAGGTATTTTTACATTTTTAGATACCTGATCACGTAAAATTGTGAGCAGACTTCAACCACTCGTGCTTTTTTGTATTTGTTCAGGAGAACAGAGCTGCAGACTTACTGGGACTACAAGCAGGCGTCTCAGTCGTACCAGCAGGCCTGGCAGCAGCTACGCAGCCAGGCCTTCCCTCTGTGGCCACGCAGTGACAGAGATCTCCTGCTCTTCCGCTGAAAGCCTGCTCTCTGCTGCTGAAATGTCCTCGTGGAGGCTGATGAAAAACTGCCTTTGTTGTAGCAAAACTTGGAGGTCACAGGTCAAAATAACGGCTGGTATGCAAATATTGCTTTTCAACAACAACTCCCCTGGATGCAAGAGCCTGTGAAACTCACATTTCAAAGAAAAGATGTCAATAACATACTGGTGAATAATATTGTAAAGTGTTTATCATGTCACACTTCCAATAAAAGGACTAATCTGACTACTCCAACTTCATTCAGGTTCATTTCTTAACGCCTGTTGGGTCAGCTGGTCAATGTGGATAAATATTGTTGGGCTATATCTGACTGCAGGACACCTGTCACGCTGTTCAGAGAGGTTGTTGACCGCTGTCCACTGTCCTCAGATGATGGTTTTATTTTCACAATGTGCGTAACACGTTGCGACTGCAGCTGCCTGGAGTTCATGCTCTGAAAACACAGCACACATGGAAAAAAAAAGGTTCTGTGTTCGATTTCCAGTCCTTGTCTGAATGCTCTCCCACAGGCATTCTGATCCGGTTTGGTGTATTCAGCCTGTGGTGAGCTGTAAACCTGACCAGGGTGTTTCTAGGGCATGTTAGAATAGATTCCAGTCCTCTCGGACACCTACTCATTCATGAAGACAATGAATAAGTTGAACCTTCTTGTTTCTGCACAACAGTTGGGGCCTTCATCCAAGACCAGATACCAAATCAATGCAGGCACTGCGGATCAGTTGTCTTATTGCTTTAGCACAGCAGATTCCATTCAGCTCAGCTAATACTGAACAGCATGTTTCAGGTTATGACCAGGAAGCGTTACACTGTGTATTTAATGTCATCCTCATTCCTCTGCAGTGGAGATTTTTAAAGATTTAGAGGTCTTTTAGAGGAAGTTAAAGGTCCAATGTCTAACATTTGGCAGAAATGTAATATAAGATTGATAGATATGTTTTCATTAGTGAAGTTATAAAAAGCAGTGTGTGTACCCTTCGTAATAAAACATTTCTTTCAATATTTAAAATCCATCATGGACTGTATAATTAAAAATTGACGTAGTCTCCATAGCGTCACCCATGGGTTTTTCAAAGAGCCGTTGTGAAACTCTGTGGTCAGTACCTCAGCAGTCCTGACTCCGCTAGCTCCCAGCTAATCCAAAATAAAAGGTGGAGCGTGGGTAGAGCTGAGGCAGGCTGAATGAAGCCTGGTTCCTGAAAGAAGCCGCCTGTAATGGCCATTCCCCAAATTATGGATAATATAATTTAAGCGTGCAAGTTATATTAAAATTCACATTCAGTTGTCATGAATGGGGAAAATTAGCTACAGAGACCAAAACAAATTTTTGTACCAGGCTGTAAATGTGTTGATTTCTGCTGTGAAGTTGGGCCTTTTAATATGGGGCATTCTGGAGATTGACTCACTTCTGGAGCCAGCCTCTAGTGGCCCTTAGAGGACCTGCACGTTTTGTTACTTCTGTGTTGGTTTCATTTGTCAGCCACAAGGGTTGCTGCTTGGTTTACATCCATGTTTCCTTGCCAGCACTCTTCTTCACTGCCTTCTTGGGCGCTTTGCTACATTTCTTTGCACTTTATAGCCACCAGCTGTTGATCAGTGGTGTTCCCGCCTTTGTGTGAAAACATCTAAAACATTGCTCCACAGTACTAATAGTACTGCACAGGGTTCTTTCAATTTTGAGCAAATATTAAGTATAAGTGTACTGACATATTAATTCCATTCCATTTTAATAAGACCAAAAGCCTTTCTGATTTATTTTACATTCATTTTTATTGGTCAGGTCTTCCAGCTACCTTACCTTTTTCAAATATCTAAAATTCCTTTACGTCTTCAAGATATATTTAACAAACATACAACACTGATGAAATAAAACAATACTGAATATCATAGCATTGCGTCAATATATTATACATCTACATACCATGTTTAAAAGCCTGAATCAGCTTTGTGGTGCACAAATATGAATAATGGGTCAGGTAAAAGGTGGAAACACACCAGATGTCTTACTCTGATTCAGCACCAAAGACTACAGCTGCAGCCAAAATGTCAGCTTTAGAGTCATCTGAGTGAAGAGAAGAACGATACCAAGCAATTCTGATTTTATGACTCCGAAACCTGTGCAGCCAAAGATGAGAGCAACTCTTTACTTGAAGTAGCGGAGATGTGAATTACAGAGCTGTATGTTCCCACCACAGTCCTGAACACAGAGCTCACTGTAAGTACATTAAATATGTGTATTTAATCATTAACAACTGTGAAAGCAGTTTTTCTGCACGCTCAGTGATTTTATTAACCAACATTTCCGCTGTACTTGAATCATTAAAGTAAGACAGAAGGGGCAGGGACAGGGTCAAGTACCACATATCTCAGCCATGACACACTCATTCCAGGAATATACTGGGAAATAATGTTTCTGGTGTTATCATCATGCATCAGTTGTGTAATGTGCTGATGGCTCACAGTGTATTATCAGTTGTCCCTCTAAAAACACTTGAACTTGGATCAGTTCTACGAGCTGGACTGTAGACTGTAGAACAGCTAAAGGCAATGCAGTAGCCTCCTTATTTGTATTCACAGTGGGGTGTAAACAGTTGTTTTGGTGAGTGGTAAGTCTCAAAAGGAATAATCCCTGCTTAGATCCTCGTCCACTGCTACATAGTGAGTTAGTGTATGACCTGCTTCCTCTACTTTTGCTGCAGGACATGATTTCTTACATTTTCCAGAATGCTTTTACACAAAACACAACATAAGTTAAAAGGTACCAGGTGCTGTTTGTCAGGTGTTTAAAGCTGCAGAAATTGACCTCAAACAAGTGGTTGTGGCAAAGAAAAAAGAGATGCCTGTTTTCGGACATGTGCAGACCTGGACTAACATTTTAAATTCATTTGTATTCGTGTTGGTGTCTGCCTGACCAGAAGTCCATTATTCAATCTGTTAAGCTCTTCTTTGGTCTCCGCCTACTACTGAGAAAAAAATGTTATCTCCTGAGCTCATAAGTAAGGATAATGCTCAACAAGGTGTCCTTTATCAGTAAATAACTGCCTCTGTGGAGTCCATTAATTCTGATAATGGACAGCTTAAAGGACATTATCCCACTTAAACCATGGTCACTTGGCAAAGGTAAAAAATAAAGACCAGTATATTTTTATGCATTTTGCAAATCTTAAGTTTTTCAGTTATAGTAACACCTGAGGGTTTAACTAATACCTGAAACAATCATTACCCTCCCATAAGGTTCTTATGTAATGGAAACGTTCACAACTCCAGTAAATAGGATGAACCTTAGATACAACTTGAGATATTTCTAGTCTGCTCCTCTCATAGAACCCTTCAGTTCAGTTTGGTTCCGTTACGAGCCAGAAAGTATTACATTACGCTAGCAAGATTCAAAGTCTGTGTATGGTTGACAAACACTAAATATAATTTGATAGTACGTTTATCAAGAACTATTGGACACCCTGCAGCCAATTAGAATCAAATCTTCATGCAGACCAAATCCTGGTACAACTTCAATGATTCAGTACAAACCTTTTTCACAGCAGATATTATGACCTGTCATAGGAGGTGAAATTAATCAAATTAACGAGTTTCTGAATCCATGTCACTGATTTGAGTAACCTCAAACTAAACTCCTAAAAGGAATGCAGCCATTATTAATAAATATTAGTTACACCTGTGTTGTCAAAATGTCTGAGGTTGTCAGAAGGCATTCTGGGTAGTGTAGGAAACCACTGACTGATGTAGAGGTAGACGGCGCAGGTTGAGGGAGAATGGTTAAAGTGCAAAACTTTCTCACTGAGTATCTCTGGGGCAGAATGTTACAGATTGAGAATATAAGAAGAGGAACTGAGTGAGTCTTCCTATTAAGTGGTGGTCATTTTCTTTTTGTTGCCCTGTGATGAAAATGTACGTATGTATGTATGTGTGTAAAACCATATACAACACAATTAACTTCAAGTAAAGTGTTGGATTTCTTTAGCAGGTCACTGGTCCCTGGCCTTAAGCTGTTTCAATTGACCCGCCCCTTTAGGACCTCTGTCACCGTCCTCCTGTCCTGTTCTTAGATATGCTATGTGCTAGGCTAATCTATATTGATTTTAAGATGGTTAAAAGAAAAAAGTGACATCTTAAGTTAGATAAAGTTAGAAAAACACTAGCTAATCTACACCAATTGTTAGCTAGTGAATTAGCTAGTGTTTTGCTAACATCAGCCAGCTAACAATTAACTTAAGCAATTAAGCAAACTAATCTAAATTGCTAGCTAATGAATGATGTATATTAGTTAGTTAGCTAGCGTTTTGCTAACATTAGCTATCAGATGTAACCAGCTAGCTAACGATTAATGTAGATTAGCTAGCCAGTTAGCTAGCATCTGTAGCAAACTAACCTAACTAGCTAGCTAATGATTGATGTATATACCGTATTTGTTAGCTAGTTCGCTAGTGTTTTGCGGTGGGACTGCAAAAACTTCTCAATTGCACGAACTGCCTTCTTTCACATGAACATAGCTGTTCTCATAGCCAATCATAGTGCTGAGTGCAACTGAATTTACATACTGAAGTTTTTATACATGATATGATAAGCCATACAAATACATCCATAATGTGGTTAATGATTGTAGTCACATGAATATAGGGTTTCTTTCTCACTTCAGCCAAACACAAATATCTGTGACAACACAGCTGGACTGAAATAAATGTAGCATGATGGGGTAATGTGTGATGATTGGCATGTCACAATGTTTTTGTAATCTAATACCGATACGTGTCGATACTTGGAAAATGAATGATATCTGACGTGCCTATAACGTGTGGTGATGGCTATTCTTATTATACGGCAGTGTTAAAGATATTTCTCTCCTCAACTGACGTCAAGCATTTCTTGACAATAACGATCATCTGATCCTGCCAAAAACTAAAATAAATTAGAACAAGTTTGTATAATTGTAACATTTTGGTGTGGCTAGTTTTCACCATAAATGTGTATTTTTAGTAGCAAAACTGGACCAGAAATGACTGTGCCAAGTGTGTAGGTGCATTACTATGCAACACATAAGACCCAAATGTCTCAAACATTGTGCACCAATATGTCAGTGTATGTGTGTGTGTGTGTGTGTGTGAGACTGATATTCAGTGAAGCATTAACCCCGTGTTGTATAAAAGCCCTTATAACCAAAGGTGTTCTCTCCACTGTAGGCCACGTACAGAAAGCCGTCCTCGTCCTTCTCCTTGTCGTACAGCTGGCCCATAGTCAGACTGCAACACACAGCAGAAAGCAGACCCTTATTAGATCACACACAGAATGAAGTAGAATCGATTATATTTACATCTCCAGTGTTGTTTTGTGCTGATCGACTGAATTTTGAAATCAGTTTTCTATGCTAAAACCTACGGCAGTCTCTATGGACAAAACGCATACAACAACAAAAGCACAAACCTTTAGGGAAATGCAATCTGATTCAAGAAATGTTGCAGATACGAAATTGTGTCCTCATTATTAAAGAACAACATACAGTAAAGAATACAATGAAGAATGCATTATGCATGTAATTTCTAATTCTAAAGTCTCTAGGCATCATCCATCCTGCTTATGGATTTGAGCCCAACCAATAGATTAGCATGGCAAATATTATCGGATCATTTTAGCTTATCTCAGTCTGAGTAAATGTCGCTGCTGTTGTAAGCTAGAATGTTGAGAATGTCAGCAGATAAGTTGCCAGAAATAGCAGCACAGAAATGCCAAATATACTGTATGTTTGAAATAATGTAGACAGTGTTGCTATTACATAGTTTGTCCACTAGAGCACATTGGCAAGTTTATTTCTGCATTGTAAAATGTCCTGTTTAGTATGTAGTTTGGTCACAGTTCTTAAAGGAAAACAAATCTGTATCAAGACTGCTTGTTTATGTTATGTATTTAAGTTAGGAACAGAAACAGTTTTGTCTGGACGGACAATGAAGTGTGACGATGTTACTCAGCGCTGAAAACTCAGTAGCCAAGCGCGTAGTAGTCAAGAGGGGACATGACGACGGTATGGGTGGTGTTTCCAAAAGATTGCACTCGGGAGACCGGGTTCAAAAGTTAGCTTTTTCAGGCCCCCAAAATGGCGACCACAATAATTGACTGTTTTACGCAAAAACCGTTGTCATGTAAATAGAGCCTAGGACACTTAAATAGAACAGAGCCATCATGTTAGTACTAACCCCCATGCTTTTCCTACTAGGACTAATCAAAATGTCTACTGGGGGAAATGGCCTATTCCCAAGTCTTCTTTTATATTAGTCCATGTTCCAGATTTGAAGAGGTTTCAGGTTTTAAGGTAGCCCAGTGAACTTGCTTTTTTGGAACAGCTCCCTGGATATGGAGTGCATCTGCCTTAACATTTGTGCAGTGAGTCAGAGGTGGATCACACTTAATAGATCAATTCTGACGTTTAAAGAGAGTGCAACATTTTGGTAAGTGCACTTTCCCTTTGTCTTACCAGAGTCAGATAAAACTTACAAAATATACATTATGACACATAATCACTTGGTCTTTTGTTATCACCAAACAGATCAATCAGTAATAAGGAAGTGGTTTCTGTAGTATTTCCTTTCAGCTCCTATTCATCCAGAGGGATCCTGTGGGGGAGTATTTCTGCTTGGATAACCTTTAGCCCAGGTGTATCCTACTCCAACACAATGGCCAAATTGGGTCTCTAATAGGACGCATTTAGAGGAATGTGAGGTCAAGTTGCTATGTGCTTACAACATGACTTGTCACTTAAGGCACCATGAAACTAAAACGGTTATTAATTATTAATGACTGTTATCAATGAGATAAAGTGATGTGTGAAATAAATAAAAAGAGATTGCGTTGGATTACATATAGACATTGTTTCCTGTAAATCCCTCATGCTTAGGTAGGCAATGTATATCTAAAGCAGGAATGGCGGACTGTTTCAGGCAGAGGATGAACTGAGGGGCTGCAGGAAGGGCCAATGTTGCAAAGCAACTCTTGTGGAGTCTCAGACTAAGAATATAGAGCTGGAAATGAGCATAATAGTGCCCCTTTAAAGATTAGAACTTGAAGGCATTCGAATAGTTTTAAGGCCTCCACTTTATATTTTGTATAGAAGGAAAACCATAGCTGCACTGACTATGGGCTAGAAGTCTGCTGGACCTCTGAACACATCGAACATCACAGCCAGATGTGGTCAGGTTTGGTCTGTTCTACTTGTGACCACATCCACCATGCTACGTACTACAAGAAAGAGCATGTTGTCACCATTAGCTGGCAGGGCGAGAGGGTGCAGTTTACTCTTTAAGAACTACAGGTGCACTAAACTAACAATAGGCGTAAGCAAGTTTCCACTAGAGAAGCATTATCAATACAATACAAAGCTGTGAGAAGCAGGTCAGATTCCTCAGATATACTGTATGTATTTACACCATATCTGCATGTCAATAGTGTAAACAGAGAAATCAGATTAGTGTAGATCCAGAGTGGGGGGGGGGGGGGTGGCTTTTGGTCCTCACAGGGGAGATTGATTACTCACACACTACAGGTCATGTGTTCTAAAAACAGATAGACAATGAACACACTGCAACATACGTCACGCAAATGGGAAAGTATCAGGATCAAACTGGGATCACTAATGAAATTACAGTCAATAAAAACAGCCAGCCTTCTTCACTTGTTCCAACTTCCCAAAAAATACATATGATATGATATTATATAAATACATTGTTTTTGGATTTAGATTTTTTGGAACAACAGGGAAAGAAATAAGGTGGACTGTTTTTAATTATTGTAAAAATAGTGTTCCCAGTTTATATATATATATATATATATATATATATATATACTTATGTACAGAGAAAGAGTCCCTCTACAGAATGATGTGACTATTTTTTGCTGCTCTGTTACATTAATAAATTATGTCAGCATTGATTCTGACCAGCATTACCATAAACAAATAAAACCGTCAGCAAAAAGCTCCACAGTCTCTAGTGGCCTCTGCGCTGCATTTTACATCATGCACCAGCTGGGCAGTGGCCACTGTGCCGTTGCCTTTTTATTTCCACTATTACAGCTGTAGACCGTACTGCTGATCTCACCTGGATTGGGGGACGGTTTTGTCGACGAAGAGGAAGATGGCTTTCTCTGAAGGCAGCTGGATGCGTTTCCTGATGATCCACATAAACTGGGCCACTGTGATGTCGGAGGGCACCAGGTACTTCCTCTTATCAATGTCCACTATCTGAGAGCCAGAGACCTTCTCCACTATCACCTGGAGCACATTCATCAACAGAAAAATTGGGCTTTTAATACCGTATGTTGTGGCATGGGTTGCAAATCTCAGTACGCTCTAATATCCACCGTTCTGTAAATGTTAGCTGCTCTTTGGAGTAAGGCTGCAACTGACGATTATTGTCATTATGGATTACTCTTTCAATCATTCTCAATTAATCCATTAGTTGTTTGGTCCATAAAATGTCAGAAAGTGGTGAAAAATGTTGATTGAAATGTCTTCTTTTTGTCCACAACCCAAAGACATTCAGTGAACTGTCATACAGGACTAAAGAAACCAGAAAATATTCACATTTAAGAAGCTAAAATCTGAATATTTGGATTGGAAACAATTAAAAGATTATCAGAATAGTTAGTAATTAATTTAACAGATAATCAATCAATCTAATCAATGAATCAACTAATCATTGCATCTCTACTCTGGAGTGCACTGTTGTAACAGGACCTTTAAGGCCATTATAGGACGTTACAATATCAATTTATCTGAATCTGCTGAACCTGATGAAGTACAACCAAACCATGTCAGACTTAAAACTGTGTCTGGTCTAATATAATATAACATTATGTTCACCAGCGAGATCAGGGGTCTGCAACGTGGCCTATGATGGCCCACAGAGTTCTATAATCTCAATCTTTATATTTTTTTCCATAACACTTGCAAAGAAGTGAGCAAATGGGTTCCACTGTGTCAAAACACTTACATAAATTACTGATGTGTTTTTATGGATTAAAAAAGTATCTTGAGACCCTTTCTTACATGTTCTGAGTTGAAACCATGCTTCCCTATACCCTCTGCCTTTCTGCATTCAGCATTCATTTGCTGTGTTACAAATGGAGGCCTTAGTCCTTGACTACTTTCTCTGAGTTGCACTTTTAGATTTTCATGATCTACCAATTAATTGGTTTATCTTGATTAGGCAAGCTGAGCAAATTCACTCTCAGTTCATATCAGCAGATTTCTCATTTCAGTGTTAATACTAGGACCAGAGGAAAAATCCACACCCGCAATTCCATATCAAACTGGTTCAACCCTGTTTATGAAAATGATTAAAGCTAGACATACACACCGCTGTGCTTTTCTATTGAAAGCATCGATTTAACGTGGATGTCTGTCAAGTAAACAGAGTCTCCTGACAATCTGTCTCCTTTTAGGCAGCCCACACTCTCAAAAAGGTTGGAGATCCCTGAGCTAGACGCTAACTCTGTCTCATTTGGTGCAGGGCAGGTAGTGTACAACGGGGTTGTAAGAAAACAGATCCCTGCAATGTCGGAAACACAGGGTTGATGAGTCAGATAAGTCTGTGTGGATTCTACGAGCGGCCCCATTCACACCACACAGTCATCTGATCCACTGGGCAGTTCTACCTTGCTTGTTTACGATCCCCTTCAGTGGTGAACACAAATTCTGATCTAGATCTAAGATCAGGTGCAGCATGCAAGAACTACATAAAGGCACTGAGTTTAACAGGCATCTTTCACCCGAAAGGCTCTGTGTATGCATTTCCTAGGACCAGGCAGTTTAACACCTGTCCACAGCTTCCCACTGTATGCATTCTGTACACTCTCTGATCTGAGGCATCTGTCCTCAGCGCTGCTGTATTCCCTTCATGCCAGTGTGGCAGAGGTTACCTCACAGGTTTCTTTAGAGGTGTGTATATGGTGGGTGTGCTTTTGTTAGCCAGATGAAATAAAGCCTACATGTAGCATGACCTCACATATAAACAGCAGCAGTTTATTTATGCCCAAAGGTCATTACTTTGGGCATTGATGATATTTGATTTGTTATCATTTCTTTATTCCTCAAAATTAAAATTGGTCGATGTTTCTCCTCAGAACTATATTTTGGACAGCGTGAAAAAAAAATGTTGGACCAGGTTAGAACCATGCTATATTGTATTTTGGTATAAAAAAACGAATAACTTAAAATGAGCAGATATGGGGCTTAAGTTTGGTTTAAACAATGGCCAAAAAAGTTAGTTGACCCTTGCCAAGTCCCTCTCCCTTTGGGCTCTGTGCTCTAATAACAGTTGAGCAGGCCTCTGTCAACTTCCTCATTTCCTGTATTTAGATATGCTATATGCTAGGCTCATCTATGTTGAAAACACAACCACACTGTGAATGGTTAAAACATAAAAGGAACATATATAGCCACATAGCATAAGATAGCTAGCTAGCTAGCTAGCTAGCTAGCTAATCTACACCAATCGTTAGCTAGCTAAATAGAAGTTTTCTTTAAGTTAAGATCCTAATAATACAAACTAATAAAATAATTCATAATTTAGTTTTTTCATAAAGTGAATGAAATTATGAGATATAGGCCTACTGTGTATATAGGTGATTAACAAAGCAGACAGGGGGAACTTTGTAAGTCATGGAGGCTCTCAGACGTCACTGGTGTCACAGCTGTAACCACTGTTCTCTGAGCTCTATCTAAATCCTAATCCGTCTATCAAGATTTAACACTCACTCATTCTCTTCTTTCTCATTCCTTACTGCCATTCACCCGCCAAACCCTCACTCCTTATCTCTTAACTTTCTGTCACTCACTTCGTCTGCACCCTCAACCCCCATCCTACTGCCAAAAAAACAACCCCTTCACCCCCACTCACCGGTACTCTGTCAGGGTATTTGTTGCGTATTTTGGCTGACTCCACACATCGGTGCTCTGAGGGAGAGAGAGGAAACAAACAGGAAGTCAGGGATTAAAGGGATGAGTGAGGCCTCTTGGGAGCCTCCTCTCTACCTCACTGTCAAATACAGCAAGCCTGGTGCGGTATAGTGATCCATAGGCAGGATGGAGCACAGCATAAAGGCTGGCAGCGGCCTGAACAGACAGTGGAGTGGATGCAACTATACACAAAGTTAACATTTTACACTAATAGTCATAACTACTTTAATATGAAACATATCAACTGTGTTTATAAGGTTATACTAAACATTGTAGTTCTTCTCATCATCAAAGAGCAAGTTAGTGCATCTATTTCCAGAAGTGTTAGCGAGCAGGACCAGATGCAGCAGGCAGACACTGAGCAGAGGAGGGCGAGGCAGTGGGTGATAAGATGTGGTGGGTTCATTAGCCCAGATAAGAGGCCTACTTTTGGAAAACATCTCAAAACCGTCAGCAGTGTTTCTTTAGAAAGGAGATAGAGGTTACATGAAGAGAATCTGAACTCAGGAGCTGACAGGAGCGGAGGAGCTCAGCAACATAAATACCACTTCCCCATCTATCTATCTGAGTATGGAGAGAACTTAAAACCAAACTCAAGTCAAAATTGTGGTGAATGAATATTCCCCTAAATGTTCATGATAGTGGAACCTGTTACAAGCTCTGGAACAAATACTACAAACAATGTTCAATTCGGCATGTATGCAATATTCAGTCACTACTAATTTCAATCAAATGTGTTGCTTTTTATTATTTGTTTAGTTTAAGATCCTCGTTGTCTTTAATCAGCAAAATACACCCTGGAGGGTGGTACCAAGCAGTAATGCAAAAAAGTTCTATTGAGAGAAAGTGCTTCATTTCATGGTAGAGTGTTCTGTCGAATTAACTACACTACCAATGTTCTACCCAGGCCTTTTCTGCCAGGGATTTAATATAAGCAAGGCAACGTTAAACTGTTAAAATGTCTCCATACAAGAGAACGCTTCAAGGAGAAATCAGCCGACTGCTATGATGTATCAATGTTAAAGGTGAACCCGATTCTGACTGCGGTCATTTGACAGGCACAACATGTTAGCATGCGCTGTGATGCATGCAGCGGTATGCAGCAGGGATCCACATCAGTCCTTTGCTGAGCTAAGCATGCATTCCTGCAGCCGTGTGGAATGACACGGCCAAATGGACGCGGAGGCGAAAGCAGAACAGAAAGGAGGGTGCATGACATGACAAGAACATCTCTTGTTTCATAACAACCCAAACCCCTTTACCGAGGGAATGGTCCTCTTTAAACATCCATTTCATCTTTGCTGGATCCCCGCACTGAGGCGTGACGGCAGGGTAGAAGTGCGGGCTTCTAGGTCTGCGGATAATGTCGGCGTGATGTCCAAAATGCACACGATAAGCGATCAAAACAAAACGTCAACACTGTCTCTACGCCCTAAGCTTCCGACTGTCCGTCTCGCTGGGAGCTGACGTCACTGTCTGACAGAGGGTGGTGGTAATGATGCTGCCTTCAGGGGCTCCCGGAAAGAATCAGTCAATCCATGAATGCACGTTAAAGAATGCGGAGTACATGCAGGGTAAAAAGATAAAATCAAATATTACAAAAACAAACAGAACAGTAAATATCAACACTACATCAGAGAACAGGGATCATTCATTCTCAGCCTAAAGCGGTAGTGTTAATGTCAGCGAAAGCATTCAGAAAGTAGACTTAGAAAACATGATTATAAAATGATGAAGTTATGAAGGTGTTGGTATGGACATGTACATGCCAGGACACAAAATGTTGTCACCAAGATGTTTTAGATTGAATTAAACCATTTAAAAAATAATGTACTAAAATTTGCTTCGCCATGTTGAATCGCTATGTTTCTACAGTAGCCCAGAATGGACAAACCAAACATTGGCTCTAGACAGGGCCGTTTCCAATTTTTGGCACGTTTCGTGGCCACCATAGTTTCTCCCTCACGGTTGGAAAGGGGACGGTGAAGCGAGTGCGTTGTGATCTGCAGATATATCTATATTGTTAACCCTTTCACGCTTTTATTTTAACACAAAGCTGGCCTACTTGTGCAAAAAGTTATTTCATTACATTGCCTATTTAGTATTTTATTTAGGATGAGCGAGTACACCATTGTTTGTATCTGTTCAATCAACTAAATTATCTGCATTCATATCTGTACTCTGGATAGGCGGGGCTTAAAGTGGACATGGGTGGTGCTTAAACCCAAAGTTTTTACTAAGCCTGAGTTGAGAGAGTTGAAACTGCATAAAATTTAACAGTACCAGTAAATATCACAGTGTCACTGTATAATGGTATTACACAATTATTATTATAATCATCAGTTACAAGGACCCTTAAAGAAATGAAAAGGGTTTTTTTGGGTGAACAAACACTTATTATAATTTGTCCCATATTTTTTTAATAACACTAATATGTTAGAATTCAATACCATAATTAAGTAAATGTACATGGCATGATAACCATCAATTACACCACGGTATACCATGGTATCGGTATACCACTGCAACCCTCGTATCTGACACAACGTTTCAAATGAGGACAAGGTTTGTTAGGTTAGAACAGACCCTGTGTGATAGGTCTCTGTACCATATTCTCAATGAGCCTGTTGACTGATCTGACTACTCCACCTGCCCCTGTGGTTACTTTCCTCAAACAGTAACTTGGTCAGAGCCACAGAGTGAATCAGCTGCAGCTCCATCATCACCATCTTCTCCTGTTACTGAGGATGGCAGACACAGTGAGCTCTTGAATGTCATTTGCAGCAGATTACACTGAAAGGAGATATACAACACTGACATCAAGTAGTCCGTTTTATTAAGTCATCATAAAGTTATGCATGTAATGTGGCATTATATCAAGTAATAACTTTTGAAATATGATCACTTGACTACAGTGTGTTGATCCAATGCATTAACAAACATGACTGGTGCAAATAAACCTTCACCAACATATCTTCAGCACAAAAGTTTAATAACTCATTATTTACCATTACTCCATGAATTAAGGCCAGTCATCAATTTGACAGTGACCTTTTTCCTTTAGGGGGGCCCTTTTTCTATCATTGAGTAAACTGACTCAGTAACATATTTTATGGATATTTCATATTATATTTAAACTGTACAATGAACCCAAACAGTGAATTCAGTAACTGCAGGACGATTGTGTAAAAGGAGTGATTTGGATAGATTTTGAGCAGATTATTTCCTGTTTAGGGAACTTTTTATACAATTATCTGTCTGTATGATGTATTTACTATTTGTAACAATCATACAGACTTATTAGGCTTCTTTTTTGGACAAATTCAGTGTTTTCTTGTCCATGACGTTTGGCCATTGTTCTATTAGACAATTTACTTTACATTTCTTCACAGAAGCGAACCAAATGCTGAGATATAGGCTTACTGTATAGGTTTTTAAAGGTTTTTTTAAACATCGTAAAATCAAGAAGGCCACGTGACTCCCCATGATGCTTTGGCGATCCCTAGTAAGCCCAAATTTTTCTAATCCCATGATTTTAGTTTTAATTTGGGGCTACAATTTTTGTGTGTGTCACTCTCTCTCTCTCT